GGGGCGGCAACATAGTGACAGATGATGTGGAAAAAGCTGAAGTACTCAATGCTTTTTTTGCCTTGGTCTTCACCGACAAGGTCAGCTCCCAGACTGCTGCACTGGGCAACACAGTATGGGGAGAAGGTGAGCAGCCCTCAGTAGTGAAAGAACAAGTTAAGGACTATTTAGAAAAGCTGGACATGCACAAGTCCATGGGTCCAAATCTAATGCATCCAAGGGTGCTGAGGGAGTAGGCTGATGTGATTGCAGAGCCACTGACCATTATCTTCGAAAATTCGTGGTGATCGGAAGAGGTCCCAGATGATTGGAAAAAGGCAAATATAGTGCCCGTATTTTAAAAAGGGAAGAAAGAGAACTCGGGGAACTACAGACCGGTCAGCCTCACTTCAGTTCCCGGCAAAATCAAGAAACAGGTCCTCAAGGAATCCATTTTGAAGCACTTGGAGGAGAGGAAGGTGATCAAGAACAGTCAACATGGATTCACCAAGGGCAAGTCATGCCTGACCAACCTGATTGCCTTCTATGATGAGATAAGTGTCTATGGGGATACGGGGAAAGCGGTGGATGTGATATATCTTGACTTTAGCAAATCTTTTGATACGGTCTCCCACAGTATTCTTGCCAGCAAGTTAAAGAAGTATGGATTGGATGAATGGTCTATAAGGTGGATAGAAAAGCTGGCTAGATTGTCGGACTCAACGGGTAGTGATCAACAGCTCGATGTCTAGTTGGCAGCCGGTATCAAGTGGAATGCTCCAGGGGTCGGTCCTAGGGCCGGTTTTGTTCAACGTCTTTATTAATGATCTGGATGATGGGATAAATTGCACCCTCAGCAAGTTCGCAGATGACACTAAGTTGGGGAGAGAGGTAGATACGCTGGAGGGTAGGGATAGGGTCCAGAGTGATGTAGACAAACTGGAGGATTGGGCCAAAAGAAATGTGATGAGGTTCAACAAGGACAAGTGCAGAGTCCTGCACTTAGGAAGGAAGAATCCCATGCACCGCTATAGGCTGGGGACCGACTGGCTAATCAGCAGTTCTGCAGAAAAGGACCTGGGGATTACAGTGGACGAGAAGCTGGATATGAGTCAGAAGTGTGCCCTTGTTGCCAAAAAGGCCAACGGCTTTTTGGGCTGTATTAGTAGGGGCACTGCCAGAAGATCAAGGGAAGTGATTATTCCGCTTTATTCGGCACTGGTGAGGCCATACCTGGAGTATTGGGTCCAGTTTTGTCCCCCCACTACAGAAGGGATGTGGACAAGTTGGAGAGAGTCCAGCAGAGGGCAACAAAAATTATTAGGGGGCTGGGGCACATGATTTACGAAGATAGGCTGAGGGAACTGGGGTTATTTAGTCTGCAGAAGAGAAGAGTGAGGGGGGATTTGATAGCAGCCTTCAATTACCTGAAGGGGGGGTTCCAGAGAGGATGGAGCTAGGCTGTTCTCAGTGGTGGAAGATGACAGAACAAGAAGCAATGGTCTCAAGCTGCAGTGGGGGAGGTTTAGGTTGGATATTAGGAAACACTATTTCACTAGGAGGGTGGTGAAGCACTGGAATGGGTTACCTAGGGAGGGGGTGGAATCTCCTTCCTTAGAGGTTTTTAAGGTCAGGCTTGACAAAGCCCTGGCTGGGATGTTTTAGTTGGTGTTGGTCCTGCTTTGAGCAGGGGACTGGACTAGATGACCTCCTGAGGTCTCTTCCAACCCTAATATTCTATGATTCTATGTGCCAGAAACTCCTGAACTGCTACAACTGACCAATTTTCAGAGCAGAGCATCCTCCTATAATTTCATCTGACTACAGTTTTGAATGTGAATGGGTCAAGTTGCTCCAACATCAGAACACAGAACCTGAGTCTGTGTCCAAACTCACCCACTTCATGTGGCTGACTTTACAGTAATTACAAAAATAATACAACATACATCAGTTAGGCAGGTCATCCACTACTGTAACTGCTGACTACATACCAGAGATGGGACCAAGCCCACAAATAAAGGGTTCACTTAAACAACAGAAACATGGGCTCTGGTGCTTGGTGAATTGCTGGAAGACTACCAGTTAGGCTTACTGCCTCATGCAGGACTAGACTTCAGCATCAGGTTCTGAGGAGACATGCTTACCCCTGTGCTGTGTAAGAATAGGATTTATTGTTAGTAAAGATGCTGGTAAACCTTCTGTCAAGATGTCCTGCAGTGGCTCAAGGTTGTGAGTACCAGCCTTTGGGAAGACTGATAAGAATCAGGGCACAAACCCCAAACTGGCTGCGAGATCTACATTTAGATTTCACCAACCAATTATCCAGTGTAAACTCCTCAAGCACTATAACAGCCCAACCATGGAATCACAGACAGTTCCCTTGGATACTCTGATCTGTCCTGCCACCCAGGTAAACCTATCTTTGTGACAGTTCATCCCTTACACCAAGGATTATAGCAATATTCAGGTTACTCCCAGTCCCAAAGTACCCGTCACTTATCACAGGTAAAATGCACTTTAGATCTCACACCAAAGACACTTGTAGATAATCCTATAATAAACTATCTAAAGATTTTATTATATAGGAAAAGGAATCAAGAGAGTTATTTACAAGGTTAAAGCAGCTAAAAATATATACACACAAATGAGTTCCAATCTAAAGTTCCAAAAAGTAATGGAAACTTCTATAATAAGCAAGCCCTATATGTCCTTTAGCAGTAACTCAGGCTAAGCACTGGAGATCATTTGCTTATGCCTAGTAATCCTTTCCTCCCAGTGTCCAAGCAGCATAAAGAAACAGTTCCTTCTTGTTAGTGTTTTTCATTCCCTTCCTTCCTTCTGCTCTGAGCTGCAGACTCAGCTGATGGGATGAATTCACTTGCATGACTCATCTTCACTGAAAGGACAAAGCAATGAAGACTTTTGCCTTCTTGAATGTTCCATACTTGTCTCTCTGGTGGTGATGAGCTTCCCATGATAGGCAGGACTTATCACCTCTGGTTGAAGACCTGCATTTCACACTACCTAATGTCTCTCTTCTGTCTGGTGATTTACACAGTTACAGAGGTTTACAAATAAAATGTTCTAATATTACCTTATAATATGGGATACAGATGTTAAAAATGAGATTAATGCATGCAGCAACTTACAAGCGTTCCAACTATGTATTTGTCAGTGTTCAGTGGAGAAATGGGGATGTTGGCATGAGTTGGCATCTGGTCTGCCAGTATCACACCTTCATCAGAACAAACTGTTACCATTGATTCTACATGAGAAATAACTCAGTTAGCCAATGGGCCATGCTGAAGCAATCTACTTATTGTTGCTCCCATAAAATCACGAGGCTGGCAAACTACTAATCTGATTAACCACCGTAGGTTCAGTGATTATCACTGAGTCAGAAGAGAGAAATCCAGTTCTAGTGTGGACCTGATGACTTGCAACTATAATCTATTATAATCTTATAAACTAATTTACTCTACGATTCTCACTGCTGAAACATCTTACTTGTGAAACCTGACCATAGCCCCACCTTTCCTAATTTAGAAGGGAGAGAGGTTGGTAATTTTAGGAATGGCTCCTAATTACTTAAAATAAATATCCATACTAGCCAACAAATGTATCCTGTCTTCAGCAGCTGGAGGCAACAGCAGAGGGAGCCAGCAAGCAACCCCACTCCCCACCATCATACCTATCATAACTTTGCGCCTTGCTGGTAGAGAAAAATAAACCTATTTGTCTAAACTAGTATAGATGAGTGCTGAGATTTTCAAAACTGCCTAAGGGATTTAAATACCTAATTCCCGTTAAAATTAATGGGTACTGGGCATCCACATCCCTTACACAGTTGTGAAAATCTCAGCCTAGCATCTTAGAATGGAACTTCACTTAAAATCCTCACTAACATACCAGTAGAAGGGACAGTCTATAACCCCAGGAGACACCCTGAGATATATGGAATTTAACTGAGTTATCTAGCCTAACTACTGAGACCAAAAAATAATTCTGCGTCTCCAAACAAAACCTTTACAACATATGAAAAGTTATTGAGCCACTACATACTAATCACTTACAATTTAGCAACTAACGAGATGCAGCCTCCAGCATATGGACTTAAAATAATTATCAGAAACAAATTATAGAAAAGGAAATGTGAAGAAAATACACTCTTTTGTTCTTCTGTTTGGTACTGCATAGACCCTTAAAAAAAAACATAACCCAATGAAACAAGCATCCAGAGAGGTTAAAAAAAAATACAGACATCGGCTAAGACTGAGTTATAGGACTTTTCGTCAGACCAAACTGTAATCTTGTAATATTGATAGTAACAGCTATTGACCAACTAATGTTGCAGATCATTCTAAGGAGTCCAAAACACTCATAACTTCCCAGTAATGAAGGTAGGTCAGAAGTACCACTTCACTATTATAGTGCTTTTTTCCTATTTAAAAATAGGGGGGAGAGAGGGTGAAAAATCAAACAGCAAATAAATATAGGTGCACACTTTCTATGAATGCAGAAAAGAGAAAAGTTGTGTTTCAGTAGCCCCAGTGAGAGGGTAACCACATGGAATAAAAAGGAGCCACCCCTTCTTACCCAACCCCTCCACAACTGGCAAGACACTTAAGACACAATTTTTAATTATGTCAGGCTTCTCAGATTTTAATCACTGCTTTTTAATATAGAGCAAGGTAGAAGGCCACTAGCCTAAATTTTAAAAAGGAACTAGTGATTGAGTAACTCACTTTTTAGTTACCCAACTTGAGATACCTCATAAGGGCCACACTTCCCAAAAATCAAGCCCTCTTAAGGGATCTCAAGTTGAGCACTCAGAAAAGGGGTGACTCAAAGTCACTAGTCCCCTTTAAAATGAAGGCCAGTAAATGTAAATAACAAAAGTCAGCCCATGAGTACTTACAGTATTTAAAGTTTTATTCTGTGTCCTGTATTTTCTCTCCCTGTTTCATTACTGTGCAACTGCAGCAGTATAGAAGAACATTCTGCGTGACAAGCTTTTGTACCTTACGATCTCTAAATCCAGAACGTTGTTTCTTCTTCTTCTTCTCTTCGGGCTGAGCCCCTCCACCACTTGACTCGACAGTCTTTCTATCATCGCCATTCTCCTCTTCTTCTTGATCCTTCACTTTTTCATTAGTTTCTGTCCTTGCATTGTGTTTTACAGATGACGGTGCTTCTGCATGGGCTCTGTGATAGGCAGGAAAACAACAACGATTAATTCAGGAACTTTAGAGGATCCATATGTAACAAGTTAACCAATTTTTAACATTGTATTCAACCAAACAAGCAGATTGGAATAACAGCAGATTTGACTGTAAACATCTAAAGTCGTAAAATGCTTGAGGCAGGGACTGTCTCTGACTGTGTGTCTGGTAAAACAATTAGTACAATGGGGTCCTGATCCTGATTGGTGTCTGTGGGTACTACTGTTGTTACAATAATAAAATAAAATAATAATAATAAGAGAAATAACTTCAATTAGTGTACTAGTATGGTCCAACAGTCCAATGGTAGCACCCTGCCATGATAAATTTCCACTTCTCCATCTCCAGACACAGTTAACACTGGGTATTTGGCAGGTGGGAAGAGAAAGCACATCAAGTGATTTAACATTGACAGCCAATGGATGACATCACTGAGCTTTAAAATGGAATCCTGCACAGACTTCCTTGACTGGAACACTGGCTGCAATTCAGAGCTTTGAGGATTGAAGAATAAAAAGCGAATGAAAGTTAGGATATTTAAGAATCTGCAACACATATTGATATTTCCCCCCCGCCCCCGGTGGAATTCACCCACCCTTGCAAAACAAACTAATATTAATTATTCATTTGTTTGTTCCCAAGAACCTAGCTAAATATATGAATCACAGACTGAATTATGCAAGTTCACATGTCTGCTTATCTTGGAGCCAACAAAAAACAACCCCCTCCCCCGCCCCGAGATGCAGCAAGTGCTATTTTCCAGAAAATGAGAAAGAAAATATTCTGACTTTAAAAGTGTTTCTCTCATAATGCCTTTAAAACCTCTACCAAAAGAAAAAAAGTAAGACAAAGTGATGAAGGAAGCAGAATGCAGTACTGCTGTGCTCAGAATAAGCAGCCTTTTGGTCTCAGCTCAATTGATTTATTTTTGATTTCAAGCAGACAGACTGTCGTATTTCGTTCATGGCTGAATCTAGTGAATTTGAAGGGTGAAGGAATAATGACAATGAAGACTGAAGTTGGTTATCCATAAATTAGAAATACTGCACACAAGCAGAACACTGGGGCTCTTTTCTTGGGCCTGGTCTACACTACGGGATTAATTCGGATTTAGCAGCATTAATCCGAATTAACCCTTCACCCGTCCACACTACAGAGCCAGTTAATTCGAATTAAAGGGCCCTTTAAATCGATTTCTGTACTCCACCTCGACGAACGGAGTAGAGCCTAAATCGATTTTGTTAATTCGAATTAGGGTTAGTGTGGCCGCACACCACCGAATTACTGTGTTTAAATTAATGGGGTAGTGTGGCCGCACACCACCGAATTAATGTGGTTAAAAACCGAATTAAGGTGCTTAGTGTGGCCGCGCACAATCGAATTTATACAACCTGTTTCCCAAATTCGAATTATCTAAATTCGGATTAATCCTGTAGTGTAGACATACCCTTGCTGTGCAAGAGCACCTCCCAGTAATCCTCTCTGCAGATGAAAATTCAGCCTACCTCCACAGTCAGTCTTACTGCCAACCCACTGTGAACAATGAGCAATGAAAGCTACTTGAGGCATCAAAGTTGTAGGCTACAGTTTGTACACAGAGCAAACTTCACAACAGAATGCAATAACAGAGCTTTAATCCAATCTATCATATAAAAGTTCAGTCGCAATGCCACAAATGAAAAGCATAACATCTCATATACAAAGCCTACCCTAAAAGACACAGGACCTTTGTATCTCCTAAACTTCAAGCAAAAAAAAAATACTCATATTTGGCCCCCATTTTTACCAACAAAATGTAGAAGCGGTGTATCAAAAGTTCCTTATGTTTTAAAAATAAAAATACTAGTTTTACTGATTTTTCACACGGGTAAACACAGCCACGTTTGTGGATAGTCTCCATGCATTACATAAAGAAAAAGTAAAATAAAGAGGACAGATTACTTCAAAATCAAACACCACAAAAAAGTACAGCTCCATTCTTGCTAACTCCTCATAAGTCACTAACCACTATTACATGTGATAGATTTGGAAGTAGTAAGTCTTCTACATTGCTTAAGAGAAGCAAGTACCAATTCTACAGAAATGTTTCAAGAGTTACCTTAAGAATAGAATTATCATTATGAATGCAAGTTTTCTTCAAGTTCTGATAAGCATTTAAGCAAAATATCTAAAATGTGAAAGCAATAAAATGAAAAAGTTCCTAAAATTGATTTTAAAAGTTGGTGTGGTTGGCCCAGTGGCTAGTGGTCTGCATTTGCATATTCTGTACCCATTGTCAGCTAGAGGTGTAGCTGGCAATGGTTTAAGTACTTATGTAGACAGGACAAAACCATTTTCCAAGTTGTTTCGAGATGACCTGATCTAAGCTGGTCATCTTTACACACTGTCTATAGTAGCACTTAAACCCATAGTTAAAAACAGCACAGCTTCTTCTGTACTAGACTGTGTCTATACTGGCAAAACTGGGACCTACAATTCTTTATTGGTGGCAGCAGCCTCAGAAGATGTAGCGTAGACAGGTATCATACATTTTTCACCATGTCACATAGGTTGCTTTTACCACCATGTGTGTTGTCTAACCAAGTCCTGCCTATACTACACTGTCCACCATGGCTACCAGTAGCTGAGAACTATGAGCCTGAGTTCTCCCTCCTCCCCCGACAAAAATTTACTCCCCAAACGAACAGAGGTTGATTCTTACATGAGACTGAGCCCAGAGGAACGAAGTGTGTACAGTATGCAGGGCCGGCGCCAGGCACCAGCCGAGCAACCTCGTGCTTGGGGCTGCAGATTCTAAGGGGTGGCTTCCCTCCAATCTTTTTTTTTTTTTTTTTTTTTTTTGCTTTGCCACTTCGGCCATCCCTGTAGGGGGCGGCGGCGCAGAGGAGGGGAGCGCCCTGCTGCACGCTCCATCTGCCCCAGCCGGTGCCAGGTCTGCAGCAAGCCCGGCAGCCCGTGTCCTTCCCTGCCCGCCGACCGGAGCAGCACGGAGCCCTCCCGACAGGCGGCGCGGCAGGAGGGGCCGGGTGGCGAGCGCCCCGCTGAAGGAAGCCCTGGCCGCCCCCTTCTCTCTCTGCCCCTGCTCCCTCCCCCTTCCCCCACCCCGCTAGCCGGGGCGCGCACTCCGCTGCCTGGGGCACATCTGCAGCACAGGGAGTCCCCCTGCACCCTGGCTCTGGCCACACCGCAGGTTTTTTTTTTTGCTTGGGGTGGCAAAAAAGCCAGAGCCGGCCCTGACAGTATGACAGATATCTTGTTCTTTGGTTAGAGGGATAGTAGCTGCCACACGAGGCCTCATGACATTACAGTCTAGAGCTCCAGAAAGATGTGGGAGAAACCAGAGTAGGAGGGGATGGGGGAAGGAAACAACATTAAAATCAAAGCAGAGGTGGGGATATAGCAGCAGCTCATATGGGATTAAAACATGGCAAATATTTTAACTTCAGGTCCACTGAGCCATTTGGCTGTGTGCTAAAAATAGGCAGGTCTCCCCACCACATGGGCAAAGTGAGCTCTGGGAAGGGAATTTGGTATCTGTAGCCCCACTCACCAACAGGGTGGATAAAAATCAATGATCAAACACACAAACACACAAACACACAAACACACAAAATCAGGTTGTTGTTTTTTTTTATTTAAAATCGGATTTTTTGATAGATTTTTTTCCTCAAAAAGCATTTTATCTAAAGATAGTTTTAATTAAGATACATTATAGTTCAAAGCTATCTCATCATGGCATAGGGATAATCAATCCTAATTCTATAGTATGAGACAATATAATCATGTAATGTTTAAGAAAAGTTTTGTAAATGAGTTCCAATAGTTCATGGTTTAGGGACCCAATCTTATGGGGTTCCAGGAGCTTCTGTATAGATTATTTAGGTTAATCTTTCTATCTACCCAATGGGACTCAGTGCTCAGTCTAGAAGATACCATCAGAGATGCTTAGTTTTGCAGTTCTCAAACTGTGGATTTGTCTCTCCAGAGATAACATGCTTGTTAACAGCAAAACTATTTTTAAATAAATTATAAAATAATATACAGAGGTGAGAAATAACAGACCTCAACCCTATTGTCCCTCTGCAAATTGGTGTACACAGAGTCAATCCCTTACCTCTCTCTAAAAGTGCAAAGTTTCAAAAACTTCAATGAATAGAAGATTGCTGGGGGTGGTGTGACGTTGCACTCCATATGATTTTATAAAAATATGCTAATGAGTGTGAATATAATGGAACTGGAATATGCTTCATGCAAAAGGTCTCTTGTAAGGTATCATTACAAAGCTTATAATCTACTGAGTGTGGTCATCCTATTTGTATAAATGTATCATTCTTGTATCTGAAACTAGAAATATGAAATATAACTCTGAGGTCCTATTGTAATTATGCAAAGTGTGAGCCATTAATGGTGGTTTGGAATCTTGATGGCTCCCATCAACTAGGACAATTGGTTGTAAATGGCTCTGTTTACTTACAAGCCTTCCTGTGAGTCAAGCCAGGAAGAATGAAGGCTTGGGGTCTCACAGGACATGTGACCATGTCACCTGGTACTGGAATCCATCTTAAACCTGGTGCTTTTCCATTTAGAAGAAGGGGTGGGGACCCAGAGAGAGAAAAGATTCCTGTCTTGTGCCAAAGCTATATAAGGGGGTGGAACAGAACAAAGGAGGGTCCAGTCATGAGAAATCTCCTAGTTACCACCTGAGCTGGAGCTGGAGCTAACAAGAACTATACCAGGGGAAAGAATTCGACCCAGACTAGGTCCAGTCTGTGAAAGAAACTTATTGGAACATCTCCAAGGGTGAGATTTACCTGTATGCAGTTTCTTAATGTATTAGGCTTAGACTTGTGTCTTTAGTTTCATTTTGCTTGGTAACTTACTTTGTTCTGTCTGTTATTACTTGGAACCACTTAAATCCTACTTTTTATACTTAATAAAATCACTTTTGTTTATTATTGAACCCAGAATAAGTAATTAGTACCT